GGGCAGAGGGCAAAGGAGGGACCCAAGGAAGATGGCACTGGAGGTCTATGCCAGTCTAGAACAGAAAAGGTGGGAACCTGACAAAGGTGTTGGCAGTGAGGATGGAGCAAAGTAAAGAGAGTCAAGAGTATTTGCTGGGGGTGGCCGGGGAGGGGGTGCAGAATCAACAAGATTTAGAGATCAGTTGACTGTGGGGGTGAGAGAGAGGGATGAGACCCCAAGATGAGTCAAGCCTGGGTGGCTTTATGAGTGTCAGGCCCAGCAAGTGATACTGAGAACACTGGTTGGGGGAGGAGTTTCCTCGCAGGTAGGCGGGGTTAAGCCACCAGGGAGACATCCAGTCAGCGAGCATCTCAGCATAGGCAGTTAGCTACGATATACACATACAAAACGTAGGGGGACGTAAGAGCTGGAGGTCCAGACGTGTGGTTCATCCATTTACAGTGAGGGCATTAAAATCACAAGAGGACTGCCTGTGACCAGGTGGAGGGAAGAACAGCACGTGAGAGCAGCATTCTGTGACACCAGCACCGGGGGAGCCAGGGTAGGAAGGAAAAGACCAGAAAAGAGAAGTCTGGGGAGCGCCAAGGAGCAGAAACATGTACCAGGCCAGGGAGACAGAGAGTCCAAGAAGTGCCTGACAGGTGCCAGAGCAGGAGAGAAGTCCAGGAAAAGATCACGACTGGAGAATGTGCCCTGGCTTGTCCCTTTGGAAGGCGCTGACACGGCGAGAAACGTTTCAGAGGAGCAGTGGGGGCAGGCCCCGGGTGAGGTGAGTAAGTGAGGGTGGTGCGTGTGGCCCCATTCTGGAGAAGCCCGGCTTCAGGGAGAGAAGGAATCACTCAGCAGGACTGCAGGGCGATGGGCAAGGACATGGCTGGAATGGGACACTTTGAAGGGGCCCGTAACCAGCGGAGGAAGAACAACCTGAAAGGAGGAAGCAGGGGACGTGGGGGCCAGGGATAAGGGGGACGCTGGGTGCGCTGCAGGGGTGAGGAGGGGCGGGATTGGAATTAAGACTCCAAGGGGACTGGGTCTTGTCTTCTGACCCCAGGGGAAGATGGTAGCAGACAGAGATGGATTTATAGACACCACAGAAGTTGAGGCCATCGTCTTCTTATCTTTGAGTGAGCCAGGAGTTGAGGGTGTCTCTGCAGAGTGACAGAAGGGGGCTGGAGTGAAGGCAGGGTTGTTTGGAGTAATTGTCCAGTGAAATGAAAGGAACAACGGCCCAGTGACAAGACGTGAGCGTCTGCACAGGTTTTCAGTGAATGCCCCCACAGAACCGGGTGAGTAACCACCTCTGGGCCTCTGCAGGATGTGGGGATGGGGTCCAGACTAAAATGGGGCCTGGACTCTCCTTGGAAAGCCTGAGGTACTGGAGGACCAGAAGGGACAGGACAGAACCCTTTACTGGAACACTCTCCCAGCAGGGCATGGTCCTGGAGGGCACACAGAAGGCCAGGGGAGCAGGCCAGCCCTGGGGCGGCCCGGGCACCACCTGCTGCCAGACATCGAGAGAGACTCCAGAGGCGAGCGTGGCTGCCACCACCAAGCCCATAAACTCCCTCCCGGGGGCCACGGAGGTAATTTAGTGTCTCTGTCTCCAGAAGCTCTTGCATTTATCAGCAGCAGCTGCATGATTCCTGGGCTGTAAATCATAAAGCTTTAGGCGTATTTCTCTTGAGTTGACATCCCCTTATAAATAACACAAGGAGCGCTTTTATTTTTTTGGCAGAAGGCTGCTTTCTCTCTCTTCTGTTTTTAGAGTGACCTTCTTTCTCAGTCAAATTGGAAACGTCCAGGAGACTCTTTTATTGAGCCCTGTGATGGGCCAGGTAACGCAGGGTGGGGCAGGGCAGACAGGAGCCTCGGACTCCACCACTACACGCCTCCTAGCAGAGCGCTGGGGTGAGTTGGTGGCATCCAGCCAAGTTTCAAATGCAAATTCCCTTTGACCCAGAGAATCATTTGCCCATGTGCATAAGGATGTGTGTTTTTTTAAGGCTTACAGGCTAACAGCAAATATCCTGCAATCAAATAAAAGTGAAAGGAGAAGACTGCAGTTAAAGAAACCATGGCATTTTAAGATCTTCTGCAGGAACTTAAAAGAATGAGACAGACTTATGTGTGCCAATAAGGAGAGATCTCCAAGGTCTACTGTTGGGGGAAATAAGCACATTGTAGGAATGTATTGTAACATTATATACATAATATAGTGTCATATTGTTTATGCTTTTTAAAAGCCCACAAATACGCTATGTGTTTGCTACCAGTACCTGTATGTTTAGAAATGCACAGAGAAAGATGTGGAAGGATACGCACAAGACTGAAGATGGTAGGTACCTTAGGGAAGGGAACTGAGGTTAGGGTGGTGGCCAAGAGGATTGCAGCTTTCTCAGTTATAGCTTAAGTTCTTGAAAGGGGGAAGTATTTATAGATTATACAGCTGGAGGCCAAAGCTCCTGAACTCTGGGTCAGTCCTTACTGTAAGCTTGGGTAAGCTATTTCCCTGTGCAGACATCAGGTTTTCCCATTTATACAATGGGATTGGACTAAATAATCCCAGTGGTCCCTTCCAACTCAGAAGTTCTAGAATCTTTATATTGTAAACATACTCCAAGGACAGGGCTCAAAATTTTCAGGGCTTAATGCCATGGAATGTGGCACTCAGCAGGCACTTAATAAGTATCTTTTAGATGGATGTCAAATGTTGAATAATGATCCTTATGCAGTTTTAATATTAATAACAGGCCAACTCTTTGCCAGGAAACTTTGCCAGGTAAGTGACCCGCCTCCCGTGTAAATGTCAGAGAGCCATAGCAGTGTGCAAATACAAATACAGGCTTTGGAGGGATTCAAACCTGGGTTCAAATCCCGGCTCTTCCACTTCCCTGCTGAATGACCCTGAGCAAATTATTGACCCTCTCTGAGTCACAGTCAGTGCTGAACTGTGACCAAGTACAGTTAATATTTCTGCTCAAACACTGTTGTTATGGTCAGTTATTCATTCAATAAATACTTACTGAGCACCATCTGTATGCCAGCCCTAGGGACACCAACAGGAATAAAACTGACAATGAGGGCAGGAGGCGAGTCCTTTCTTGCCTCCTGCCCCATCGCTTCCCTTGGTGCGGGCACCTCTGCTCTGAACAGCAGCTGGACAAACCTGAAGACTTGGAGGGGGAGGAGGCAGGGGCAGGGGCATGAGGCTATAGACAGGGCTGCCTGGGGATACTGAAGACTGCCCTGACCAAGCCGTAGCTACACAAGCGGGGATGTGGCCACCTTTGCCTGAATCAGTTGCTGCCTGCTCTCTGGGCCTCAGATTCTTCTTCTGTAACATGGTGGGGAATGACATCAGTCTCCTGGGATTACTCCGGGCATCAAACAGACACCAATACTAATAAAGCAGCTAATTTTCTTGAGTTCTTCCTAGGTGCCACACTCGGAGAGCACCCTCTCATTAACCCCGACAACAAATTACTCAACTAGAAAACTTGATCAGAGAAGTTAAGTAACTTGCTCCAAATCTCACAGCTGCAGACAAGCAAATACAGGATTGGAAACTGATGCTCTGACTTCAGTCCAAGTACTGAAACCTGGCAGCCTCCCACCTCCTGCTCAAATGGTGTCAAACAACTCAGGGTGTAACCCAGGGGCTAAGATCCTTATCCTGCACCCTAACATAAGGATAGTTATGACACTTGGATATTATGTTAATGAGCTTTCACATTCAGCTCTGGCCGCCTTATCTGCTGGCTGACAGGGAAACACAGAGGCATTTAGTTATCAGGAGAAAAAAAGTACTCATCATTTGAAGTTCACAGAGGACATGGCTCTCTCTCTGTACAGGTCTTTGTTTTTAATTAAGAGCAACAATCAGATAATCTTGCTTTAATTAACTCCCCTGACGCACCCCGTTCTCCAAGCCTCCCTTTGATATTTTCAACATCAAATCTTTCAGCCCAAGATTATCTGCAGACACGCGCCAGACATTTGCCACTTGCCAAACATGCCTGAAAGGTTGGCGTGAACTTCCACCCCTTTCTTTTTGGACAGACAACCCCCTTCTTCAGAGCAAACGTGTTTCATGTTGGGAAGGGGCTGTCTGGGCTTGCCCCATCAGTCTGTGATACTTCTTTCTGTCTTATCACATTGGTTCTTCTGTTATCACACGAGTGGTGTGCATTTCATCTTAATTACACATCTGCTTAATCCATAATTTCTGATTCATGGCCATTAGCTCCTAATTACAAGAGAGCCACCCTTGAAAAGGAAAACTAGATGAGCTGAGGAACAGAGATGAAAAGCAAGAGGAAGATGGATATAAGTCCTGCAACTAGGGCTGCGTCCGGGGGCCCATCTGTCGGAACAACCTACTGTTGGCAATCCCAGCCTTGTGAGGGCCCCATCTCAGGCCATGACAGAATGTTTCCTTCCATCGTAGGAAAAAATACAGAATTCTAACATTCAAACAAAGCTGATGTTTCCGAGGAATGAATCATCCAGCCTAACAGTCTTTATACAGACTCTCCATTAAAAGAAACAACAAAAAACCAGAAAACGTAGTAGGTAAAGTATGTTTATAAAGAAAAATTTAAATCCAAAACTATCTATAAATGGAAAACTAGCAGGACTTGCCTTAGGTAGAAGACAACTATAATATATCCACAGCTGGGTTTTTAATGTTCACCCCATGCTCAAAAGCATCTGAAAAACCACGCTTCAGGAAGGCTAGTAGATCCTCATTACTTCAACTGTTTAGGGCAGTAAATACAATTATATTTCCTGTTTTACAGATGAGGAAGGGAAGGCTCAGAGAGGGTAACTGATCAGCCTAAAGTCACACAGCAAGGAAAGGGCGGGGTCATACCTCAAACCAGACCATGCTTGTCCTTGCCTAGGATGGAGGAGATGGAAGACGTGAACAACAATCTTCAAAGTCTGAGATTCTCTGAACTATTGGCCATCCTGAGGCAGCAGGGAGCTACTCTTACCTGGGGCTGAGGGTACGGCTGCTGACGGCTGACTGTCTTGAGGGGGTCCTCACGGTGTCTGTGGCCAGGGACAGAGTACAACTCAACCAGGACTGCAGACTGCCCTCTGGCCGGGAGCTGAGGATGGAGACATTATCTCTAGAACCAGAATGCAAGATGCTGTCAACACAATGACCACCACAGTCACAGCAATACCTAGATATTCATCCCCTGGCATGAGCCAAGCATTGTGCTAAGAGCCGAACATGTGTAACTTTATAATCAGTGCTTACAGCACCACCCCTGAGAGGTGGCAGCCAGTGCTGTCCCTAGCACACAGATGAGAGTAATGGGATCCGGGGAGGCCAACCTGTGTCTTGGCCACGGTCCCCCAGTCAGTCAGTGATGAAGTTGGGATGCAAACCTTGGCCCCTCTGATTCTAACATCCATGCTAATAACCACTGCTCTTCCTTGGAAAGACAAACACTCTAAGGCAGATGCTGAGGTAGCTCCAGTTCTGGAGTAAAATTTGGCTCTGAATTTCACACCAAATGATGTGTTCGTGGAATCTGTCAAGTGTGAAGGTCTTAACCCCTCGTTTGCCTTACTTAACTGGAATGTCTCTGTGGACAGACACTTTACTTGTATGCCCCCCCATGACTGAGAGCAGCACCGGGAAGGGCCTGTGTGGGCCTCCCACTAAGACGGGTGCTCAATGACTGTTTTATTTATGGCTGATATACTCACTCAAATACATATATAACATACATTATATACTAACATCTACCAGTGTTTATTATTAGTACATACAAACTTTCATATGTATATACACACACCCATATTTATTTGTTTGTTTCTAGAGCACACCATGCCAGGCACATGGGAAGGAGCTATAAACATGAGCCTAACACTGAGTCTGCCCTCAAGACCCCATTCTAGCAGAGCAGACATCTATATACATAAATAAAACCTTAAATAAAAAAGAAAATTACTGATGCTTAGATAGGGACAGGCTAGGCTTTAAGGAGGACAAGGAGGGAGGCACAAAGGAAGGAATCATGTAGGGGCTGCTGAGCTACACCTTGTCTGGAGGTGAGGGCTTGGCCACACAGGCCTGGAGACGGGAAGTCTAGGTGGGAGGAGCAGCACACCCAGGTACGGAGGGCACGGATGGTGTGCAAGGCCGGAGTCCAGGCAGATGGGGAGGGAAGGGTCAGACGGTGCAGGGCTCAAATGTCAATCTGAAAAGTCTGAGGTGATGGGGGGCCACTGAAGGTGTTTGAGGACAGTGGTGTAAGTCACGGGCTGTCATCTACAAGAAGTAGGACAGTTCAGTAACGTGTCCCTGGGGCCGTATGTTCTGACCAGGGGGTCAGAGCTCTCATGGGCACTGTGGACAGCTCTCCAGACAGGCATGGATGTCCCCTCTGCAAACTGGACACAGAGAGCTGGGGGCTCGTCTCTGGCTTCGGTTCTACTCAGGGTTAACTTACATCTCTTTTGCGCCGCCGCTGCCACGATCCACCGCTGTCTGGACACTAGAAGGAGGCACAAGAAAGAATCTGTTACCCTTGGGCTGCCAGGGGCTGTGGAAGAACAGTCTCTGATGTTAAATAAACTCAGGCTTGGGACCCACCTTCAACCGTTGCCACTGTGTGTGATCTCAGGCAAGTTACTCTCCCCAAGTCTCCTGAGCTCCTTCATAAAATGTAGCTAACAACGGGCCACCGCCCTCAAAGCTGTGGAGCTGACTAAGTGAGATAACCCTTATAAACATTTCAGCATGGTTCTTGGCAAATCAACAGTGTTAATGAAAGGGCAGCCACCATTACCACTACTCTTGTTTTAGTACAACTAGTACTGCTATTAACAGAGAGCAAGGCATTTTCTTCATAATCTTTATGAGCACTTGCAAACCAGACACGGGGCTGTGGTGCTCGGCTTTCCCAGTGCATTCTGGGAAACTCTGGAACTAATGACAACAGTAGCTATTCTGCAGGGAGCACCCCTTGATTCAACAAATACGCTTCACATGCAATCTCATCTGACCACCTTGCCCGGCTCTATCTTAGAGCTGAGGAAGCTGACTCCGTTGTCTAAGGTCACATAGCTTTGACTCCCAGGTCTGTGAGAGACACTAAGCTCATAATCTTAACCAGAGTGCGACTGCCCAAGGAATGGGCATCAGACACCTAAGCCATCATTTTAATCCTGGTTCCTCAGCCAGGACCTCCCAGCTTTATTCTTCACTGCAATCTGGGCAGTTCTTTCCCAGAAAACCTGATCACTTTCCCTACCGGATGCACCTGTGGCTAGCTGGCCCCTACCCCCAAGGGCCAGTCACTCTCGGGGCTTCTACTAACATATACCTGTCCCCATCAGACTGCAAGAGCCCCTCAAAGGACAAGAACATCAAATCTTGTTCATCCCTTTAGCCCCAGGGCTCAGGCAAGATTAGACGTTCTCTCAGACAATGCCTTGTGAACCCAACAGAAGAGGGGTCTGTAAACAACAGCCATGGACCAAATCTATCCTACAAATCTGTTTTTTATAAGTTAAGTTTCATTGGAACATGGCCATCCTCACTCATTTGCATTTTTGTCCATGACTGCTTTTGCTCCACAATGGCAGAGTACAGTAGTTCCAACAGAGATCACACAGCCTGAAAAGCCTAAAATATTTACTATCTGTCTGGTCTTTTAAAGAAAAATTAGCTGCTCTCTCCAGTATAACAAAAAGCACCTTTTGTGAAAGATCCTTCAAGGGGCAGAATAATGACCCCAAAGATGTCAACATCCTAATCATTCACCTCTAATCCCAAGAACTTCTGACTATGTTTCCTGACATGTTAAGAGACTTTGCAGGTGTGACACGGATCTTGAGAGAGGGAGGGGATCTTGGATTATCTGGGTGGGCCTTGTCCAATGACTCCAATCCTCAAAAGCAGAGAACTTTCCCCAGATCTGGTCAGGGGGAGGTGTGGCTATGGAAGAACAGTCAGAGATGCAACATTTCTGGCTTTGAGGATGGAAGTGGCCACAAGCCAAGGAATGTGAGTGTCCTCTGGAAGCTGCCAAAGGCAAGGAAATGGATTCTCCTCTAGAGTTTCAGAAGGAACACAGCTCTGCTGACAGTGATTTTAGCCCAGGGAGATCCATGTTGGACTTCTAATTAACAGAACAGTAAGATAATTAAGCCACGAAATTTGAGCTAAATTACTATGGCAGCCACTAAATTTAAGCCACTAAATTTGTGATAATTTGCTATGGCAGCAATAGAATAAAAGTACCTTTTATGAGTGACCCTAAATCTTCTTGAGGATCTACATAAAATTGTTTGATTATAGCTCCTTAACAAACTATTCAAAAACACTTAAAAACAAAAACTGTCACAGAAGTGGTCAATGCGAGCAGAACCAGCTCTAGTCCCACTGTGACCTGAGTCCTCCCTAAGGCTCTGTGTGCTGGGGCTGCAGGAGGAACACCAGACCAGGAAGAGAGGTGACTGAATCCTAGTGCCCTCAGGGTGTGGCCTCGGCCTATTCTCTGCCCTCTTTGGGGTGTCAAGTGTCCCCATCTGTGAAATGAGGTGTTTGCACACTGAGGACTTGTCTAGCTTGGGTGCTTGAAAATTACATGCAATGGAGAGGGTGCACTTGGGCCCTAGAGCCAGAGTCCTGGTCCTTTTATGAGACTCTTATGAAGACTGTAAAACTTCCATTTCCCCAAATGCACAAACACGGACTCCAATTTTAATGCAATATCAGAAGGTTCACCGTAAAATCTCTAGAACTCATGCATGGACACCTCCTCCCTCAACCTATAGTTCAAAGACCCCCATTAAAGACACTGGTTCCAGGTGACTGAAGGTGGTAAGCGAGGGCCAGGGGAGCAGAGGCTCGGAAATACTCATAGAAAGAAGAAAAGAGCTAAGAGTCTTGTGGGCCAAGCAACAGAGTTCAAGAAGGTGTCACATTCCCCTTAAAAAGAGAGGGTGAGTCGTACACAGGACAAGGTTTCTCATGCCCACAAGCAGGGAGGATGGGCGTACACTGGCTGCAGTAGGGGCGAGATGTGAGGCAGGACGAAAGAGAGGGAGGGGCTTTGGGCCCATTTCCCACCCCAGGACTCCATGACTCTCAATTAAAAAAGGCTGTGCCCAGAGACCCTGGTGGGTGCCTGGGCAACCTAATGTCTCCATAATCCTAACATAAGTGGCCTTGAACTCTGCAGGAGAAAAGGTCTGTGCAGCCAGGCATCTACACCTAATTCATGGGACTGAACAACAATCTTAAGTTGAACCCAGCACAGGAACATCTTTAGAGCGCAACGCAGCTAATCAAGGCACAGGCTAGGGCTAATTCTTCTGGCATAACTGGACATCTCAAAGTGAGTAAGTCTCCAGTCTGGGGGGTTAGAGACCCTTCAGCAGGGGGCAAATTTAAACACTGAGTCCATGCACGGGGAACCTTCTTCTCTCACTCCAGCTGCACTCCATCCTACACTAGGATTTTCTACAGGAGTTTGCTTTGGTGTCAAAGAGGGGGGTCTTTTTAAAGGAGGCATTTAAAACCCACGGACCCTTCCACCACACGAAGAAAGTCTCTGGACCTCAAGCTCCATGAGGCTGATTCATGTTTGCCTGTTTCCTACCGTCTCCTGCCCTAACATGGAAGGTATGCACTGATGATAGTGGTGATGGTGATTTTAATCTTCATCAAGGGCAGCTGACCTGTCCATGGTCCTGATCTCCTTGGCAGTGCAGCCTGACATGTGGTCCTTGGTTCTTCCCTCATGTCCTGTCCAGTAAGGACCAGTGGTTCCTTATCTGGCCTTGGTGCATGTGGCTTTTCAAGAAGAACCTGGGCCAGGCATTCATGAACAAGGGGATTGCTGATGAACAACTAAGTGTTTTTTTGGTATATTCTTTGTGGGTAAGTCTTTGCCAAGCAACTCCAGTCTGAACGCAAACACTGCCTGGTAAGTAACACGCAAATGCATTGGCCCCACACCACAGTGACAGACACAAGTTCACCAGAATGATAAGCCAGTTACTTGGCAGAGACAGACCTTGACAAGAGAAAAGAGGAAGATGGCATGTTTGACATGACAGGAGAGCTTGGTCATTGGAAGTGTGGGTGATGGGGTTGGCCTGGAAATCAAATCATGTCCCCTCACTTACTGTGTGAGCTGGAACCAGTTTCTTGACTTCCCTAAGCTCCAGTTTCTTCATCTGTAAACTGGGGGTGATAACGATATCAACCTTAGGAGTTGTTGTAAGAACAATGTATGTAAAACACATAGGTTGTGTAGCATGGCACAAAGCCAGTCCTCGGGAAAGAGGACCTATGACCACAATGATCTGCATTTCCTGGGATGCCAGAGTGGATAAAGCAGCTTGGAGCCCTGTCCCCAAGAATCCCACTAGCTGGGTATCCGGGCCTTCCAAGCTAGAAAGATGCTTAGAAAGACAGGTGTCATCTGTGGCATCATTAAACACATGCTATCCTGCCCTAGGGCTCCGTGATTTAATTTGGAATGTCTGAGAATAATGGGGAAATGCTGTGAGCTATCCCTTCCGAGCAAAATTAGAGGGTAAGAGAGTTGTAGGAAAAGCGACATGAGCAGGTCCAGAGCCTGCCCTGCTCTGTAGCAGGAACCTTGCAGTCTGGCCAGAGCCCAGCCCACTAATGAATAAGTCAACTCAGAATTATGCCCTCGGTGGCAGCTGCAATCTTTGGTCAGACCCACATCTTTCTCCTTCTCCTACCGCAACCTCATTTTCGCTAAGTTAAAAGGATGGATGTTGGAAAATGTGCAATTTACACTCAACATAGCAATAAAGGACTCCTTTCCAGAGCATTCATCTGAGGTGGGGCCAGCTGGCATGGACACACTCTCAGCTGACCCACAAGTTAGAGGTCATCTATTGACTTTTCCACCCCCTACCCTACCCCAAACTCCCAGCCGAGGCGATGACAGAGCAGCCGCAGACCCCAGGCCAGGAATAGATGAGGCTGTCAGCTGACACCCCTCTCTCCATGACAGATGAGCCCGCTCCAGGCCTGGGGGGACAGCTTAAAACATTAATCTAAGAAGGCTGACGCCACAGTCTAAGTTACAACGTGGGGGCCCTGGCGCAGGAGAGCACGCATTTAAACGCTGCTGCACAGGCAACCTGGCTTTCTGAGCACGTAGCCACGTTTCTAGCCTGGAAGGCCTGTTACGCTCGGATCTAATTCCCAACATGGGGAAATGTGCCTTTTCATAATGTGAACAAGTCTCTCAAAGAACCTCACCTCCAGCTGAAGCACTGTTCTTCCTCTCTCTCCTGGGGTGGGTCTGAATCCTAATTGCGGGCTGTTTGGAGAAGTACCTCAGACCAGCCCTTCAGGCTCCAATCCAAGTCTCTTACCCGAGGTGGCAAGACGATTAAGGGAGGAGCAGGGTGTGGAGCTGGCAGGCGGGGCAGAGCACAGGCCGGTGGCACTGGGGCAGGTGCTGGGACTCTGCTCCCGGCGGTGGCTCTACAACCCAGCCACGCACGTATCTTTTTATTGCTGATAACCAGTTTAATTACACTGCGACCAGACAACATGGTTTGTATGATATTAACTCTCTGAAAAGTGTTGAGACTTCTTTGTGGGTGATTTTTCTCCAGTCTTCCTCGGCTCCTACGCTGTTATTAAAACCGACACTCCGTGTAAGTTTCAAATCTAAGTTACAAGACAGCGAGTAAGGACCAAAGCCTGCTGACAATTGAGAAACACTTCCCAAGAACCACCCCGGGGTCGGGGCTGGCTTCGCAGGCTCACAGCCTGAGCCCAGAAGGGCCTGTGCTCGGTATGATGCTCTGCTGTGATCATCCTGAAATTCTAAATCTGTTTTGAACAAGAAGCCCCATGTTCTCGTTTCACAGTGGACCCACAGATTATGTAGTCAGTCTTGCCTGGGCTTCTCGGGCCCTTCGAGGAACTGGGGGACACAGTGGGCTTCCATGGCCATTTCAAAAGGGGAAGAAAGGTAAGAAAAGAGGGGAGGGCGAGGAAAGAAGAGGAGTTCCCTCTCTCCCATTTATCTCACTCTGGCACCCTGGTCAACTTTCACTTCCTAGAGCATTCCTCCCTTCCCTCCATAGCGCCCAGGTCTGGCCCCTTCTTCTCACCCAGGTTTTAAATCAATTCTTCCTCTCAAGGGGGCCATGTCTTCCTGCCCTGCTACTCATCACAGCACTGTGTTCTCTGCCTCCTCGACTCCTACTGTATTCTAGTGTTTAGTCCTCAGCCTGCTCCCTGTACTCAAGGATGGGGACGGACGGATGGACACACACACACACACACCCATCAGGATGCAGGTTCCATGAAGCCAGAGACCACCCTATACTCTTCTCCCTCCCTGTTCCACAGGAATTTAACTTCTTCCTGATCTCGGGCAAGTTATTCAATCTCTCTTTATCTGTAAAATAGAGGAAAAGGATAACAAGAAGCAAGTGGAATAAGACAAGCACCTAGAACACTGCCTGGCGCAGAACCGGTGAGAATCCACCACATGAAGGAATGAAACTGGGGGCTGGTGAGCCCCTACCGGGCACAAGGTACTATGCCAGGGGATCATTTTTTTCCACCTACTTATCAATCCATCTTACAGATGAAGAGACTGAGGCTCAGCAAGGATGAATAACTTGCCGAAAGTCACGCAGAAATGCACTGCTGGATCCTCGCCTGGAAATCAGGCTTGATAAAATGAAACGCGGCTCCCCTGCACCCCCACCCCCCGCCCCGCAGCAGCCCTTACTTCCAGCTGCAATAATCCTTCCAGCTGCCTGGGCTCTTCCAGGTACAAGAGGCCATCTCTTCACATCTGGTGTTCTATGATCATCCCCACCTTACACAACCCTGAAATGCAGGTGAGGTCCCTTCCAACCTGAGGACGCGTGTGTCAGGTGCTGTGTGGACACTTGTGATCCAGACTCAGGAAAAGTCATCAGACATTCAGTCAAGAGGAAGATTTAAAGCCCCAGAGACAAAAGATGGTGAAAATGCAGACAGAAAGCAAAGGTTCAGACTGGATTCCCAGGGGCCCAGGACCTGGAGCTCAGAAAACCTAAGGGAACAAGGGAGTTCGCATGAGGCTTGTTATCTGGAGAAAAAACAAAGGTGCCTCTTACTAGGATGACCGTGAGGGCAGGGTCCCTTTATGGCCCCAGGGGACCCACTGTAAGCAGTGACCGGAGTGATGTTTGTCACAGTCCGTGACCTCACCAGCAGGACCTCACTCCGCAGGCAAGAATCTGCTCTTGTCACAGGTGCTGCCCAGCTTCTCCCTGCACCTCCAGGCACGGACTCTCTGCCTCTTTCCAATCTTGTTATTTTTAGAACTTTAACTGTTTATTAGAAAAGCAATCTCTTGCTATGCAAGTAAAAATGATTCAGAAGTTTTGCTCATTGGCAAAAAACCCCAAATACTAGTTTATACGGCCATTAATTCCCATTATAATTAATGCAAAAGCTCTAGCATTTCTATTAACGGAGAAGCCAGCCCAGCATCGAGCGGGTGATACCGACACTAGGGATTTGTAATTACAGACGTTAGTCCTGTCATGACACTAATAAAACTAGAGGGGGGTGGTGGACGGGGGTTTCTGTGTGTACGCAGGAGCTGGGAAGCAGCTGTACCATCCGTATTTGCTGTGTTGCTAGCAATCTGACAGCTGTGCAAATGAGCAGGGCAAGGTAGAAATCCTTAGAATGTGCACAAAGCAATCTTTGCACAAACTGAGGAGATTTTTTAGATCAAGCCCTTTATTTAGAGGCAAGAACATGGCAAGTGCACTGGGTCTCTGTCTCACTGATGCTGAGCGTGACTGTCTTCATGGGGAAGTTGGAGGTTACATGCCTCTAAGCAGCTTATGACCTTCCCAGGACTGCATGAAGGAAACAATATGTTCCTGGTCTAAGATCAGGAGTATAAAGCACATGACTTGTATGGGCAAATCCTCCTAAACAGGACCCTAGAATGGCCAGGGATGTGTGTGCATGTTCACTGCATAAATCTGAGAAAAAATAAACTTGAAAAAAATAAAAATTTAGGTCCAGCAGTGCCTTCCCTCAGTATTAGAATGTTGGTGTGCTTCCTTCCAGTCTTTTTTCTGGACTGGGTGTGGTCAGCCCCAGTTCAGATGCCTGGGTCTTCCCACTGGCTAAACCATGGCCCACAGGCAACTCTCTCTTCTTCCCTTGCTGCCCGTCTCATCCGCACACCTCCTGCCACAGGCAAAGGTCTGGCTTGGGGACTAAGGAGCCCTGGGTTCTAAATCAGTGCAGGGAACTTATCTGCTGGGTGATCTTGAACTTCTCTGAATCAGGGTCGTCATGCAGAAAAGGAGAGGGTTGCACTCCATGGGCTGGTATCTGAATGTTTCAGCTGCAGCACAAACCATCCCCCACAGAGACAAAGATCAGGAGGGAGCAGCTGCTGATGCAGCTGGAACAGGTGTGCGCAGGGGTGGCTGGTGGGAGCTGGGAAAAACCACATCTGATGGTTCAGTTAAGGTGCCCCATCTCGCACCTTCACATTATTTATGCAGAGGAGATGCCTCTCCCTGTGGCCTAGGCTTTGCTGCGGAGACTTCAATGAAGACAGAGATGCTACAGCCAGATGGGAAGCTGTGGTTTCCAGAGAAATCACACACCAAGTAGCTGCGGGGAACAGGACGCTATGGGCCACCTGCAGGGGCTGGACAGCCAGGGCCTGTGGGCCCAGCCAGGACACCTCAACCTCCTCCCAGCTGAGCAGCCCACCCATGGGACTGCCTTGAGACTTGAGAGGAGATGGTAGGAGGCAGCCTGTATGCCTTCAGAGGAAGGGAAGAAGCCCTGACATTGAATTTGAGTGGTCCTGCCCATCATCAGCCATCTAATCTTGCATCCGCGAATCCGGGGTTGCCTTTGTAAAATAGTGCTCATTACCCTCTGTAAGTATAACCGGCACCCTCAACAGCACTTACCTGCCGGGCACGACTCACCTGTTAACTCATGTAACTCTCACTCAACCCTGAGGTACACTGTGAGTTGAATACACGCAATGCCCAGCTGGTAAGTCAAAAGTGGGCAAATCTTGGCAATTTCATGTGGTTTGCCCAATAATGTTACGCCTACTAAAGATGAGGGAATTAGGCTCAGACTGAACGTGGTACCTGCCCAAGATCACACCCTGGAGTCCACTCTGCAGCCACTCCTCCAGGTTGTCTCCCCAAAGCCTGGCGAGCTGGGCTGTGTGGTTTCGACGGTAAGGCGGGGACACTACCACCAGCGGGGAAGCAGCCTGCCTTTCCTCACCTGAGTCAGCCAGTTACCCCTCCCGCACCTGAACGCAGCTGGGCCTCCCAGCCGATGCGGCCCTGAACCACAGACTGGAGAGTGGAAGCACTATCCACTAAAGACAGCAACGCCCCCCAGGGTGCAGCTCACCTGCTGTGCCCGGCCCACCTGCCCCATCATGAGTTACCTCTCCGTGTCACTGTCACTGGACGCCACCTCTTCCAAGGCTGCCTGCAGATCAGCGATCCGCCGGATGGATGTCTCAAGGTCTGTCTGGAGGGTCTGTCTGACAGCAGCAAGCTCCTCCACGTACTTCTCCTGGAGACAGAGACCACAGTACACATTGGCCTTGGACAAGCCCCCCACCCACCTTAATGAGCCCTGGGGAGGAGGCCAGTGTTCACCAAGACCCTGTATGTGGAGGGTACCCATGAGGGACTCTCTGTACAGACAGGCCTACAGACCCTCAGATAGATGCTCCAAATATTTTAGAGGAAGAAACGGATGCTTGGGGGCTCTAGGGCATGGTCCCCAGACAGAACTCACTCACCCATATCCCACACCAAGGGTGTTGAACCTAGTCTGTCTGACCCCAAGCAGGCACTTGGATGGATGGGTAGATGGACAAATCAATTACAACGTATGAAGAGTTGCTGAAAGGCTCTGGAGGCTGAGTCCCGCTGGAGACAATGTGGAGTGGGAGGTTGGGGGAAGACAGAATGAGAATGGATCCCTTTCAGCTCAGCCACCTAGACTCCCCCTACTTTCCATCCTCAAAGGCAGTAAAGGCAAGGATGGAAACCCCAGTGGGCTCCCTTGGGAGCACGCTGGCTCCACGGCGTCACTGAGATCCTTCCATGCCCAGCACTGTGTCCAGCGTTTCAGGCTCCTGACCACACTCACTCCTCATGAGCCTGGCTGGTGGGGGTCCTATCACTGCCCCCATTTTCCAGATAAGGACCGAGCGCTGACTGGCCAAGCTGGGGCTGGGGCTTGGTGCATCTGCCTCTCCTCCCGGTGCTCATCCCATTACTTTCTGCCCTCATTGGATTTTGTCCAGACCCTCTGGGAAATCTCTGACGTCCGTTTGTAACATATTTCCCACACTCCTTCCCTTTAACATGATGACTGCCAACCGAGGGTGCCTCTGCCCCTAGTCTAGAGACGTGTTTGGTTCTCACGCTTGGGAGTCTTATGGCAACTGGTGGAGTAGAGGTCAAGGGTGCTCCCCAACCTTCTACACTGCACAGGACGGCCCCCACCACAAGGATTACTTCCCACGTATCAACAGTGTCCGGTCTGAGAAACCCTGGGTTAAACCGAGAAACCCACCTTCTGGGAATTAATCCTATGAGATATAAATAAAAATGGCAGAGCAAGGCCCTGTATCCAAGGATGCCTGGAGCAGTGCCACTGACGACACAGAGAGGCTGAAAGCCACCTCACCGCCCAACAACTGGGGATGGTTAGGGAAACCACAGTGGGTCACTTTGATGCTATTAAGGCAGACATCGACATGAGAAGTACGGATGGTGGCAGCATGGAATACGTCTGTGAAATAATGCTAAGCAAGCAGAATAGAACAGAGGGAGCAACAGGTCTTAAAAGCCTCAACCCGCGTGGAGCCTTCTGGTGGGCAGAGGGCAGGGACAGGGCAGGTGATGTGTCTCAGGGGTGGGTGGGACTAAGAAGATGAGCAGAGGAGATGGGGACCCGAGATGGGTCAGGTCCGTAGTACCATGAAAGTGAAAGTAGGTTCTGCAGCCAGATGCTTGCGTTTGAATCCAAGCTCTGCCACTCACTGGCTGTATGACCTACAGTGAGTTACTCAACCTCTCGGACCCCCATGGGTAAAATGGGGACAGTGGTAGCCCCCTTCACCAGGCTGTCGGGAGGGCCAAATGAGCCTGGCAGAGAGGAAAGGCGTGGCCAATGATGACATCACTATCATTCGATTCTCAGAGGACGATGAAGAGCAATTGGGTGGGTGTCCCCACATCACCGAAGAAGTCTGCCAAGGTCATGCAGAGAAGAAAGAGGTTGGAATGCAGGACTTTGGATGAAATCTTTTTCACCATCTGCAGGGGAAAGACCTGGACAGAAAGCCCGGGCAGCTGAGGGGATGAGTTAACGAGACAGAATGAGGGGAACTGAGAGCAAGAAAACCATCGACAGATGACAGATGGGGTTCTGGGGCCTGCCGCTACCTCCAACCCTCCACGTGCCCCTTGTCTGCTGTGCCCCATCCTCCATCTGCCTGGGGATCACAAACGGCTCAGTGGGAACCTCCCAAGAAGATGGATTTGGGAAATTTAGAGTCTGTGTAATCAGCAATCAGCAAACCTTTCCTGCTTCAACTCAAAAACCAAACAGTCTGCTGATTGCAGAGACCAAGCCATTAGGCAAAATGGATGTGGTGTCCCCAACAGTCTTCATGGGGCAGACAAAACAAGGCCCCAGCCGGAGATGGCTGGAGAGAAATGTAGGGGTGATGCACAAGGGAAGCCCCCCTCAGGCCTTCTTCCCCCTCCACAACCAGCCATGCTGAGGACCCGGTCAGCTCCGCTACGCAAATGGGGTTGTTTTGAGACCAACAGTGAGCTTGGTCTCCTCTATTTTTATCTCTCTTTGGGGACCTAGAGAGGAAGAAGTTAGGGGGCACAGAAAACAGGATACGAAACCATCTAGATAGTGAAATGCACACAATGGAAATCCACTAATAAATATACCACATGCTCATATTAATCTACTTCTACAACATAGTGACATACACATTGTAATAGACACACAGCATACTAATACAGATTATATATTCATTATATATTTGTTCCTATACCATTCACTCACTCACTCACTAAGCATTCACTGAGTACCTACTATGTGCCAGCATTGATCTAAGCATGGCGACATAGACAGATAAAACCCTAACTTCTGGGAGCGTCATTCTTGCAGGGTCCTAATCTACCCGTACTGCTGGTGCCTACAACACAGGCACTCACTATGCCTTGGGACTGAGTGAGGGGTGTTACTGCAACGACGAGAGCTGAACGAAGGAGGGGCCAGGGTACCACACTCACTAGGGCATACGTGGTACACACCATGCATACAGACATCAATGCAAGACTGCGGTGTGTTGTACACGCTGGCCTCCCCTGCATTGTGTAAGAGAGTCATTAACCCCTGTGAGACTCCCAGGCTGTGCAGAGTTGCCCATGTGGGTAGCAGTTCATACGATAATTAGTAGTGGCAATTAAAATCATCTCTTGTGATGTTCAATTACAGGCTAATATTTAAAACCACTGCCTGGTTTCTCTGCCCAAGGCACCACGGTCATCAGGGGACCCTCTGCTGTCCGCAAACACACAGGACTCTAGTGCTGCTTTCTGCGTCTCTAACCTCTGGAGGTGTCCCGCAGGGCCTCCTAAAGTTAATTTCACCTCTTTTATTACAGGGCAGACTGCCTCAAAACACTCCTGCAACCTGATGAAACATCACCTTGTTATTTTTTCCTGATGGCGCTAAAGACAAATAGAAAATTCTTGTTACAAAACGGCCAAAAAAACACCATACACATGGTGTGCAAATATATACAAATGTATATTTATATAATGTATACATGCCATATAGATAAATGTAAATGTATAAACATAAACATATATAAATATGTATAGGTGTGACTGTGTGCACATTTGTATGCAGAGATACACAAATGTTCCCAGTCTGACACACAGCACATACTTAATATTTGGGAAAAAATTAATAAATGAATATAGTTATTTCTATTTCTCACATGGGCAGGCACTCCGCTAAATGCCTGAAATTCCTTACTTCATGTGGTCTTTATAACAACTCTCAGAGTCACGTACGACATAAACGCATAAAAGGAAACGTGAGAATATTACAACAAAGGAGCAGAAGAGTTATTATCTCTGCAGGATGAGATAGCAGGTGATATTTAGCTTCCTTTTTAAACTTCTTCAGATATGCTGCAAAGAATATGAATTACTTTTATTATCAGAAAGTTAAAAAAGACAGGACTATCTCCCTCTGCACAGCCATGAACAGCCCCCAGGTCTACCTGCTCAACACCTCTCATGGCAGCCTCATTATCCCCATTTTACAGATGAACGGGCTGAGCCTCAGGAAGGTTAAGTCACGTGCCCAGGGACGTGGAACCAGGACATGACAATTTAGAGTGGACCCTGGTCTCATGACCCCAGCCCACGGCTATTTTCCCCTTTGCCTCTATTTGTTCCTGGTTCATTCAAAGGTGCCTGTGTCTCTGGAGGTGCAGGGAATCATCCCAGAAAGCCAGATTATGAGGAACTGTCACTGTCTCAAGATGTCCAAGGGTCACTTGTCTGGAAGAAATGAGGCTACAGGAGAAAATAAATGCCCCGTGAATTGTGTCCTGGAAAGAGCTCCCAGGCCGCACTGACCATGGAGTAAGCATTAGCAGGGAATATTCAGTCTCATTTTGGGAAAGGAAGGAGTCGGGGTGTCCATTAGAAAACCCCAAATTATGCATCAGATTCTCTTACTTCAGGCTGGAAAAGAGTCCAACCTCCAACTGGAAAAGGGACAGGGGAGAAGGTGGTCATCATTAGGCAATGCCCTTCCATCACAGTCATCCTGCAAATTGTCTTATTTTATTCTTATAATGTGGCGATAGACACAGAGAGACTCATCAAAGATCCCAAAGGCACGCAGCTAGAAAGTGACACACAGATTCCAGCTCAGGCCTGCCTGTTTCCAGAGGGTCAGCACATACCCGACAACTCCTCCCACCCATTCCTTCACCCATAACAGGCATGTCTAATCGATCACTGCACAGACCCAGGCAATGTGGGGCCAAAGTCCACTCTGAACCACTAAGCTAAATGCTCCCAGTGCTGTCCGGTGCCCCATCTACCAGGATCAACAGGGAACTCCCAACTCTGCCCCACGTCCAATGATGGCAATACTCCTGAATCCTCAGAGAAGACACTTATATTAGTTGGTTGATTGGGGGCCGGTATTTCTCCTTGAAAACTGACACGTGTTCTATGCAACCAAGGGAAGGTGAAGCCCACTACACTCAGGAAGAGACCCTGGCGGGTGGGAAGGGGTATATGCAAACTTCCAACAACATGGGGGTGGGGAGGCAGCAGGAGAAGTCCTGGCTTCAGAATAAGATGAACCCTGAACACTGGATTTTAAAGAGTTACTAATCCTTTCCAACTTTCAGTTCCTCATCTGTTACCATCACAGTATTATTCCAGACTGAAAGGTGTTGCAAGGAATAAATGAAACAATGTAAAACTGCATACATCTGGTAT